ATCCCACTGGATTTAATTGATAGGGTTACTGACAATAGTGGCAGCTCCTGATGTGCTTAAATGATAGCTCTGTATAGCATCTCTTGGTGGATAAGAAGAAATTATACCTCTTTCTATATATATATGGATGGGGAGAGATGGAAGTGTTTTATCTTAATAGGGTAATAATTTAGTATTGTGGTTATCTCTGTATGTATATCAAACCAGACTTTCCAATGTATTGTGCAAAATTTTTTCAAATCTTAAGAATTGTCATGAGTCTGGGGCAGGCAGACAGATCACCGATACCCGTTTAAGTACAAGTCAGAGGTGAGGAAGCTAATTCGAGTTTCTCTCATTCACTGTTAGAGGACACAAAAAGAATTATTGATTGGGAAGATAAGACTGTGTAAAAGAAAGCAAATTTAGCAGTTCTGACAGTTCTCTCGATATAGAAGGATTAATTAAGGGGGTGGCATGGATTGGATGTCTGTCTTAGGCAAAGTAATAACACCACAGTTTGATTTTTTTTTTTTTAATTGGAAATATGTAGTATTTACTACTATTATCAATTATATAATTGTTTTTGTAAATTTTATATGAAGGAAAGAAGGGTGGGAAAATACATTCTGTAATTACAAAGTACCAATTGACTTAGGATCGTACGATATCTAGAGTGTCAGGGAGGAAATGCTGGTATTCAGAAACTAGAAAAGAAAGAAATATTTTTAATTGGTGTGTGTAGTGCAGCTCTTACTTATTGCTCAGCCACAGCTTTGAGACTTACCTATGACTTTCCCTGCTTTTTGAATTTCTCAAAAAATCAATTGTTTTGCTAGTTCAGAAAATAATTTGTGAAAATCTTGCTAGCACATTTCAATAAATGGCTGGTTCTCTGTTCATACCACATAATATTGTTGTATTTTAGCAAAGTGGAAGAAATAATTATGATTTAGATCCTGTCAGAATTTAAAAACTCAAACTTCTAATAGTTAAAACCAAGAAATAACTTCATTATTGGAGAAAAAAGAGGTATATTTGTGCCATATAGCTTTTTTTGAGGGATGTGGTAAACAGGACTTGATGCCAGTGGAGAACAAAAACTGACATAAGTAGATGGCTTAAAGAGCTATGACATATATCACTTTGTGGTGCCTACATGGATTTCTGTTGAAAACTTGTAGAAACATGGTAAATTGAAATAAAACAAGAAGTTTCAAATTATATTTGTTGTGGCTCCATACTCACTTTATAGATGCCAAGTCAAGTAGTCAGAGGGTTTATTTCTGACAATGAGAATCTTTTTCTGTTTCTATTCTTTGACAGCCACGAGCTGTCGCTGGTTTTCGAGGAACAGTACGATATGCATCAATCAATGCTCATAGAAACAGAGTGAGTATCTTAATCTATAATCATATCCATCTCATGTAGCTGAAAGCAGTAAAGCAGTTGCTATCGATTTCCTTTTTTGTATTAGGTATGTATTTATTATGTAGAAATTAATGCTTATAAAATTTGTGAAAGGATAATATACTTTACAGTAGTCAAGGGCAAAAAAAAGTTCTTGTAGAAATAATAGTGGTTTTAAGTTACCTTTGGTGTTCAATTGTATTTAAGTTAATAAATTAAAAAGGTGAAGTTATTGAGTTTTCTAAAATATGTCCAATATGTCATCTTAATGTCATACACTGAAGAAAACTGAATAAAACAGCTCTGCCAGTACAGAGATTTGCAGTGTTCTTTCAGCACACTTCAGCTTCTGTTTTGTTTCTCTGTATCTTCTATGGAAATTTACTTCTATGTTTATACTTAAAACAGTTGCTGGATATAATTATACAAACTTGTTTTGGAGTGTTCATTATATTAATCTTTATATATAATAATTTAAGTCTCCAGTGCAGTAAAGAATCTATATTCCCTTTTGTCTTAAGTATTTGTAAGAAGCATTAGAATAATATTTCTTTTTTACAGGAAATGGGTCGGCATGATGACCTCTGGTCCCTGTTCTACATGTTGGTGGAATTTGTGGTTGGGCAGCTGCCTTGGAGAAAAATAAAAGATAAGGTAAACGTAGACGTGAAACCAAAGATCACAAGGGAGATTTACTTCTGGATTGCAAGCAAATGCTGTGATAAAGATTCCACTAAGAATCACTGGTTGATTAGTTTTCATGTTGCATTTTCCAGTGTTCTCTAGTGTTAGTTCTCATTGGTCTCATGGTTAGTGTCATGGTATGAAAAGCAATCAAGTTTCACAAACTGTTCTAGTCAGGAAGTGGATTGTGCTTCTGGTTCACAAATGTTTTAAAAGGCAAAAGTAAGTGTGTATATGCCACTTATTTCATTTTCCTGTTTTCAGTTGAGTACTTTTTGATTTCATCTATCACACATTTAGAGTTTCTTATCTATTTTGATTATTTGTGAAATGGGCGTTTCTTATTTGCTGGTGAACAAAAGTGAATCAGTCAATATGCAGTAGTGCCTTTAGTCACGTATCATAGGTGAGGTGTGTGAAGAAGCAACGTCTAATTAGCCTATTACATCTTTCGACTTCTTTTGAAATTAGATTGAAACAAAGTTACTCTCTGGCAGATGGTAATGTGGTACATTGGTAGTGTCTCTTTTTTGGTTTTGATTTACTCATCTTACACGAAACAGGAATCTTACGCAATATATTGTGATAACCAGATATACACCAAAAAGTGACTGAACTTCAGACAATGCAACAGGATATTTAAACCTTTAAAACATGCTTTTTAAAAGGGTTGGAGTGTCTAATGGCAGTCCTTGATATCAGGCAGTATACAAACGCAGCATAAAATTAAATGGCTTTTCATGTTGAGTTTGAAGTTTGTACATTATTTTGCATGTGTACTGAGGGCAATGACAGAATCTCTTGTCTTGCTATCTGATCTAGAATGGCCTTCCTCAGGCCGTCCTCCTTCAGTGTAACGTACTTACCCATCTTTCTGGCCAGCAGTGTATTGAATGGCTGTAAGATACAGGGTGAATATGTTGTAGCAGAGAATGAATGTGTATTAATGTTTGTTTTGTTATTTACTCCTAGGAGCAAGTGGGCTCCATTAAAGAAAGGTACGAGCACAGACTTATGTTGAAACATCTTCCTCAAGAATTCAACACCTTTCTGGATCACATTTCGAATTTAGATTACTTTACAAAGCCTGATTACCAGGTAAACATTTTTACTATTTTGTCTTTCTGATTTTTAAATATCAGAATTTTATGCTGTTTCATCTTCAGTTTCCTTTGATTTCATTGTGTACTCTTGGTACTGATTATGGATTGTGACACCACAAAGTTATTTTAATGACCATCTAGTGCCACAGAAACTTTGCAGTTCAAAGATGTCATTTTTTTCCATTTGGGAAAGGTAAGGCAGTTAAGTTTCTAAAAAAATGGACAGTTGCTTTGCAGTTGGTATTCTGTTAGGACCGGGTGCTATCCTACTATCATAGCCTCTAGTGGGTACTCTTTAAGTTAAATCAATCAGATAGTTTTGTCAGTGATAGTCATTCTGGCAGTTTTCCAAAATCTGGAGCTCAGCACCCATGATATTGTATTGGATTTGTGTGGTGGGGTTTTCGTAGCGGGGTGGAGGGGGGGCTACAGGGGTGGCTCCTGTGAGGAGCTGCTAGAAGCTCCCTGGCTCTAAGTTGGACCTGCCTCTGGCCAAGGCCAAGACAATCGTTGATGGTCGTAGCAGCTGTGTGCTAACATATTTAAGAGGGGAAAAAAACCCATGCTGGCTGGTTTTATTTAGAGCAGTGAGAAAGTGCTTTACTTTTCATAGTCATTTAAGCTCCGGTCTCTCCTAACTAGTATTTGTTGTAGCAATGTTAGTCATACTTTCTATATGTGTCATTACTGATAAAAACACAAATGGGTTTTGATTTTTAAAATAAAACAGAATTTTGCATATCGTAAGTTTGAAACTTTGGAAAATGAGAAATGGTTAATATAAAGAACTGTCCGTTTTTTTTGAATTTTTTGTCAGTCAAAATCTTAAAGAAGAGCCATGTTAAAGTATTACAGGAGGATATTTCTTGATTGCTTGGTCTCCTGGACAAAAATGAAGCTTATTAACTTTTTTCTTCATTTTTAGCTTCTCATGTCTGTGTTTGACAACAGCATGAAAACGTTTGGGGTTATTGAAAGTGACCCTTTTGACTGGGAGAAGAGTGGAACTGACGGTTCTCTGACAACAACAACAACTTCAACCACACCTCAGTTACACACTCGTCTTACTCCAGCTGCAATTGGGTATGTATGCACATTGTGGTCACTTAAAAAGCAGCTGCAGAGTGCCAAAGGGAAATTAGCTCCATAATTCAGGTTTGGTTTTTTTTTTTTTTTTCCTGCAGGATGTTGAATAAATAGAGGAATAAAGGTTTGGGGACATTTGAACCCTCTTTAGGGTTCCTGTTTATACCATCCTAAAAGACCAGCGCTGCAGTCCTAAATTTATAGCAGTGAAAAACAGTAGCTCAGGAAATTGCATGTAAATTTGTAGTCCGTCATTTCATAAATCATATTTTGTGAAATTAAATGACGTGTCCTGAGTTTAACTGCCTGGAAATAAACCCGTTGTTTTCTGTAAGCCTGGAGTAAACTACTAGCTGCAATTTCCTTATGACTTTGAAAAATGAATGGATCTTTATAGGAAATTTGGAAATAGATTTTGGTCTTGTTTAAAATAAAATTTAATGTGGTCATTGAGACCTTCTGTAATTAAGTAAGTTGGATGAGATGTGATATTTAACAATACCCATAACTCATCTCAGGGGATTGGAGAATATAAGAGATGTTTATGGGTGAGGAGGAAGACTTTGTGCCTGTTCTAGGCCTTGAGTAGATCAACTTTTTTCTCTGAGAGTCACAGAGGTTGTGACATGGGCATGTTGACAGCGTAGCAAGGCTGAAAACTACCAAAATTTCATGTAGAATGTATTAAATTTCCGGTATTTCAAGGTAATTGAAAAAAAGTGTTAAAATAACCGTCAGTCAAGACATTAACTGGTGTTAATATTACACAGGTGTATGGTGTGCACTGTTGAACACACTGAAGTTGACAGGGATTTTGAGTGTGATTCAGATCCATTATCACACTGGATCATACTGGAGTTGATAGTCTTGGCTGCAGTTAACAATTTTGGTGACTGTAAAGTAATTACTTCTAATCGACCTTCTGACTTTTTTGGAGAAGCATTGCTTAGTTTCAGATACTGAGCTAAGCCTTAGCCCTGTTTAGCTGCAAGTCAATGGGACTACAGAACTTGAATTAAAATGTAATGTCTTGTTAGTATTATGCTTATGTTTTGTTTACCAATAACTGGACCAAAATAGCACTTTGATGGGAATAGTGATTAAAACTGCGTTTAGTGTGCTAAGTGATCTCTCTTCCTCACACAGTACATTCTGTTATTCTACCAAATTTTTGGGAAAAGGAAACTATATTATGAAAGTTGCCATTAATTTTTTTTAGTAGAAAAATGTGTGTAGAAGAGTCAGTAGGGAAGATGAGCCTGGACATGATCTCTAACAAATTTTCTTAGAAGTTGCTTCAAAAACATTAAAAAAAATAGCTTCTAAGTTGTTTATTTTTCTTTACACCTTTTGTTATGTACCTAAATTAAAGAAATATAAAATGTGAAAGCCAAGAAATAGGGGTTTTTATATTAAATAATTTACAGGATTTAGTTTTCTACAGAAGCATGCTTTTGCTTGTAACTTTTTGGTTTTTACTTTATTTTATTAGAGTAGAAAATAATTTAGCATAGAAAATGTTTTCAAGAAACACGTTAGACTCTTGAAATTTTTACCTTTCTGATTTTTTTTTTTTTTTACACTACTTTTGTAGAATTGCCAATGCCACTCCTATCCCAGGAGACTTGCTGCGAGAAAACACAGATGAAGTGTTTCCTGATGAACAGCTCAGTGATGGAGAGAATGGTATCCCAGCTGGTGTCTCACCAGAGAAACTACCTGGTTCCCCTGGGCATCAGCGTCCTCAGGAAAAAGATGTTTGGGAAGAAATGGATGCAAACAGAAACAGAATAAAACTAGGGATCTGTAAGGTACTTATAAATCTGCATTGTGAAGACCATCTTTGAGCAGTTTCCTGTCCTCACAGTGGACATGAGATATAATTAATAATGCGGTCATACTAATATTGATTAGCCAGAATGGTCTAAGAAAACAAGATTTATGGTTGAGCTAACAGATTTTATTAGAGCGATTTATGTACTGGAAGCAGACAAAGCTTCTGGGCCTTGTGTCACTGTATCAGGTCTTTATGATGAATAGTAGATTGCTGATAATTTGAGATTATTTGTATTTTATTCATATTCATGTCCTTCAGACATTATTTTCTTGCTCACCAAACCAAAAGCAGATTTCCTGCATCTTGCATGTGTGGAAGTTATATACTGAATATACAAAAACCAGTTTAATGTTATTATTCAGTTGACAGATTGGCAGTGTGATTGGCAGTATCCATTTAATTCACTTGGTGTTTTTGTCTCCGTAAGATGTGATAACCTTTGTACTGATCCAAAGAGGTTCATGGGCTAGTCTTTAGAAGAGAATGCTGCTTAATTTTGAAAAGTGGTCTGTGAGAAGTGGTTCCTGTGTCCCTTGCTCACAATCACAGCATGTCATACTTGGGCAAATGTAGCCCTGTTTCTTGATGTAAAAATGTTTTGAACATGAAGAGGGATCTGGTACTGAAATGTTCTTCAGCTAGGAGATCTGTCTCCTTTTGAGGCTGTTACTTCTTGTTTACTAGAAAAAAATGTATTGTGGGAAAGAATAAGGCATGGTGCCTCTTTTCAAATGTGCTTATTTGTTTCTTTTTTACCAAAGAGGGAGAAAGGAGATTGTTCTGGTTTTAAAAAAAGGCAATTTCTATTAGTTACACCTGTTGAAAGTATGTTAATGACTTCCCACCTCTAAATGATGTCCAGTTAGTATACAAGATGGAATGCGGTTGGACTAAAACATAGTTCCAAGTCACAGAAATATCTAGTAGATTTAGTATATAACAGTGTGAGAATAATAAAGATAGCTTGGAAGCTAACTTCTTTTTAATAAGACCATTTGACTGTAAAGCAGACTGAAGATGGTACCAAGTGCCCGGTTTCACACTATTATTAAAGAAAATTTTGGAGATGGGTGTGAATTATCAGAGTAAATTTAAGTGTACTACGGGATTTTTGAGGCTTCTCTTCTCAGACCTACCCAGAACCAGTATATTACTAGTATTTTGTCTATTGTAGGTGTGTGCTGAAGAGCATATCTAATCTACCTTAACTATGGCAGAACTTAAGGACCATTCCAAATAGAAATTGGCTTATCACAGGCTAAAAACGTGGATGGTATTCACCATAGAGTACCTTGTCTTCCTCTGTTTTGCTCCTCCTAGTGAGTTATATTTTTACTTTACTTTTTGCACAGGCTGCCACAGAGGAAGAAAACAGCCATGGGCCAGTGAACGGAATGCTTAATGCACCGAGTCTTGGTTCTCCAATTCGTGTTCGCTCAGAGACCACCCAGATAGACAGAGATGTCCCACTGGTGCGAAAGTTACGTTCAATTCACAGCTTTGAACTGGAGAAGCGTCTGACGTTGGAGTCAAAGCCAGACACAGAGAAATTTCTTGAGACCTGGTAAAGAAATTATTTTATTCTTATGCTTAGACCTTTTCAGGATATATAGTTAAGATACTGTCATCTTTCCTCTGCCATGTGAAAACCAGGAATGGAACTGCTGAGTTATGCTTATGCAAGCTACGGTGAAGTATTTACTACATTCATAATAATGCTCGATTAATGGATTTCACCACTTGGCAGCTTCTTCAAAAAGATTAATGCTAGTATACAGTTAAAGGTGAACTTCCACAGTTGAGAACTTTTTATTTCAAGACCTAGTTGTGTAACCCAGATGTTTATTACCTTTCTCTTCAGTGGGATACTCCTCACAGTCAGTACAACTCATCCTAAATAAGAATGTTGACATCAGGTGTTCAATAGAGGTAACATGGGATTAGATTATGTGACATGAGAAGGACAGTTTATAAGAAGTGGAGTTATGAAGTAAAGTTAGAAATCTACCTGCATGTAGCAGGTTTAGTTATGCCCAAATGTGTTGCGCCAACATAAAAAAAATCTTGATAGAAGACAGAGGTCTTAAAATGGAATTTGAAGGTAGAAAAGAGACATATGTATGAGAACAGATTCAATCAATTTGGCTATGTGTAGAAAGAATAAGGGGAGATGGACACAGTGAAATTTGACTAATAGGCAGAGGCTGAGTGGGTACAGTAGAAGACAGCTGAGATGCTGACAGTGGCAAAATCCTTCTAAATACATCATAGGGGGTTAGGAATTTGAATTTGTTTGATGAAGCAAATTATGCAAAGCATAAATATGGAATCAATCAAAACGGTCAATAATAATCTTCTTGAAAGCCCCTACTAACTGCTGCTGGAGATATCTGTTTCTTCTGTTCTGCTTTGAGTCTCTGCTTTGTAGCATAAATTAAGTACAGTGGACATCTGGTGGTAGCCTCACCACTGAGTTGGTTTCCACACACTGTTCTCCTTTCTGGTAATTACATTTACGATACAATGATACATTACAATATGTGCAAATTTCTAAGACCATCCACCCATTTTGACTTGACGTCAGTGTTGTTTGTCTCAAATTATGGAAGTTTCACCGATTGTAGATTGTTCTTAAATATGACAACAAATTGTTATATAAATGTAGTTTTCCTCTACTGAAAAAACCCTCAAATGTAACTTACAGTATTTAATTAATTCTTAACTAATTCACATACTATCTTTTATTAAGTTTGGAGAAGATGAAGAAAGACTTGAACGCTGCAGCAGAGACTCCGGGTGCTGATGTTCCACCTCTTCCTCAGAAAACACCCATTCCTAGACTGCCCGCATGGACCATGTTTGGCACTATGATGAAGAATATCTTCCAGATGCTTCAAAGCCTGTGTCAGCTAGTTCTCCAGAGCATGTTGATGGTGTTATGAGTAATGGATTTGTAGCTGTCAACTTAAACTCCTGCAGGCAGGAGGTTGATTCTAAGGAATGGGTGATAATAGATAAGGAACGGGACTTGCAGGACTTCAGGACAAATGAGGCTTTAGGGCACAAAATGACTGGAAGTCCCTCAGATGAAGAGCCAGAGGTACTACAAGTTCTAGAGGAGTCCCCCCCAGAGGAGCGGTCCGGACAGGGTGGTTGGGCAGGAAACAGTGTCCATGCCAAGAACCAAACCTCAGGGGTGGAGTTTGTTCTAGCCATGGAGTGTCATCCTGCTGCTTCCGAACAACTTACAGATAAATTGGAACTTCTCTCTGGAGCTGCTGGACAGCTTCTTGCAGCCACCCCTACAAGTCCTATGGAAGCTCAGGCAGAGGGAGCACTCACTCCGGTAAGAGAAACGGTCGCTGTTTTACTGAACATCTCTTTATTCATAATTATATGAGGAGATAGTAACGGAAAAGGCAGTGACTGAAATACAATAGTGTAGCAGAAATTCCTAGTTTCATCAGATATAGGATTTGATTCTTGAGGAATGATCTTCCATGTTCTGTTGAAAAAAATTTACGTTCTCCCATGGAAGTGGCTATTAGTTCTGCAGGTACGATCCACAGAACTGGCCTCAGTAGACAAAATAAAATTATTATATGTATATTTTATATATAAAGAAGCTCCTTATGCAGATTTCTAATCAAATATATATTTAAAATATTTGGAGTATCTAAGCATTAAATTATAATATGTAAAATACTACTCTAGTGTTTTAGGAAAAGCCTGAATGGCTGAAATTAAAGAAACAGAGTTAGTTGCTTGCACCATCATTGACGTAGTGCTTTCTTTTGGAATTCCCTTTGTTTCTTCTTGTTTCTTCTGAAATTTGTAATGTTTCTTATACAAACAATTTCTTGGCTTTTATAAATTGTTGCTGCTTCTCCCTTCCAAGATAATTTTGCAACTACTGCTTTGCTGCCTGAGTTTTCGCTAAGACAGATTGCTTTGCTTTTTTTCTCCTCTGTCACTGATTCTAAGCAATGATTTCTTTGGCTTTACTTGAGGAGGAAGTGAGATTAATGGTTAAGTGGTTGCGAATCTGCTCCTGGTTTTATTTCTCCCCCTTTTTCAGTAGATGTTGTGTCATCTATGATATAAAGGACAATGCTTTCAATCTCCTTTGAGCCAAGAAACCTGGCTGTACTTCTCCCTGACTTATCACCACTTCTTATGAAAGTTACAGCCAGCTCATTAGAAAAAGAAATTTGTCACCAACCACTCATTTATTATAAGGTGTAAAATATCCTTTATGGTGAAAATTAACTACTTAATGTAATTAACTGTAGCTGTACAGTAAAATTTCAAATATGCCTAGATTCTCACGGAAAATGCAAGATTGTATCTTTCATGTAAGATCAGCTTTAGATATCATACCCTGTGAATTATGTAGTTTATAGAAGATTCATTTTGCGTGATTCAAAATACAGAACTGTGTTAAAAGAAAATTTTTTTTGACTGAAATATTAGTTACTTGAAAGAGTTTTTGATGGTTTAGAAACTTCTAAAGGTGAAAGATGAATTTAAATTGCTCAGTTGTTTTCAGTTGTTCAATTTTTGTACTTTAATGTTAGTTTTAGTAAAACAGAGAAGAAAGAGGAACAGTTTGTCCTGTACAAAATAATAGTTATCAGGTGTTTTTATTCTGAAGGCCATTGAAAAACAGCTTGCAATTTTGTATGCAAATGCATTATCCCACTTTATGTAAACTTACCTCTTTTTGGGGAAATAGCTGTTTTACTTGAAACTGAAAGAAGAGATGATATAAAAGTCACGTACTACAGTGCAAATAATGGACAATATCTTTATCTGCAAGGGAAGAAACTTCTGAGCATGGGAGCAAAAATAGTTATAAGCAAGCTCAATTAATTATAAGATGTATTGGAAGAAATACTGGTTGGAGTAGACACTAGGGTGAGATTATATTTTAGTTTGGCTTTGCAAGCAGGTAAAGGATATTTGTCATGACTTCAAAAATGAGGGAAATTAATATGGTTTTATTATCCTGGAACGGCAAGTAGTGCTGTGAGGGCAGGAACAGGAACTTCCTGTTTTGAAGGTTAATTGTGTGGAATTGAAAATATAAACCAAACTGGGAATAAAGAAAAAATAAATTATTTGGCTGGTTTAGAACCTGGGAGCAGAGTGTGTCTATGCAGTGTGTCTGTTCCAGCTGTGATGGCAATTTGTGGTAGTCTTTCATCTACTTTACTAGCCCTTGAAAGGCAAACAAAGCCCAGGAGGATATTTGGGGGTGAGTTGTTCTTTCTGCCCTTTCTTGATGGTGTTCTATTTCATAAAAGATACGTACATATTCCTTAAGGTTGGTACTGGAACCTAGCTGTTTGTAATCATCCTAATCACTTCACAGGGAGACAGCATATATAACTGTCTTCATACAGTAGTTCTCTATTCCAGAGCCCCGGTGACCTTAGGGAGCTATTTGGTAGAGTCCTTTTCCTTCTTCCTCAAAGCATTTACCCACCTGAAACTGTTCTCTGAATGTGATCCTTGTTTGTGGATCAGATGATCTTGTTCTTTAGTAATTTTATCTAGGTAGTGCCTTCCTGACAATACAAATAATGGACAAGGGGTCATATTTTACTTTTCTACTTAGTTTTATGGCAACAGTACTAAGAGCAGGCTTGGATCCAAGAATATAAGTTTAGGACTATAAGTCAAATTACTTAAATGTTACTAAAAGGGGTTAAAATAGATGTTGAAATTATAGTAGTCTAATAGCTTAATATAATTTCCGAAATGGTTTACTCATTTCAAATGGCTTGAAACTCTAGGACATGTCAGGATCTGTGGTCATCATGCTTGTGAATATACCTCCCATATGGATTTCTAGTGACCTGCTTCACAATCACTTAGGTGAAAGTATGATGAATTGTATTCTTTGAGCTTATTCTGATAAGTTTGCTAAATATGCAAGCAATTACTTTAATGGTGAATGAATAAAATAGTTTTCCTGTTTTATATATTATTTTATTTTTCATTTTTACTTTGATGATCTTCGTTATCCTTTCTTTATTTCTTTCAGGGCTTTATTGCTCACTGTTTAAGTAGTAAGTAGTAGCAAGGATGTTTCTGTACAAGAAACTGGAAGTTCCTATTCTCACCCATAATTTTATTTTCTCCTGAAGGAAAGAAATTGCTGGTCTGCAGCCCTTCCATTTGTAGATAAATGTTCTTCCTGAAATTGTGTGTGTATATGGACTTCCTGTAATTGATGATAATATTATTTCTTACCTGTTTCATGCAGCATCAGCATTCTAATAAGAATGTAAAGTTGTAGCAGTTCAGGATAGAAACCTGAACTCAAAAAATAAGAGAGAAAAATGTGTAAGTTACTGGCTTGGGGATGAACAAGTTTCAGGCATAAAAAATTACAGCAAATTATGCTGTTATGAAAAATCCTGCAGGTAAGAGAACTAATTTTCATGTTATCAGTCATGGTTTTCTAGTCGCAATACAGATTCTGTGTGCTACCAGCAAATGCCAGTTTAATCTGTCTCAGTCATGGGCACATGGTCACATCTCTGTGGAACTATTCAGAGCGTGCTAGGATATATATGCTGCCTTTATGCTTTCATAATGTCTTTATGTTAACTTGGGCTGTTAGGAGGATGGGCAGTACCAGATTTGCTGTAATATCTGCTGGTATGAAGTTAATCTCTTAAAAGAATTTGAACTGATCTAGACTAATGATGAATTTATACTGGAGCAGCACTTTGCATCATACAGCTCTGGTTTTCTTTTCCTTAATCTGGTGCTAAGAGCCTAAAGCTGGACTTGCTGTGTTTTTGAACCGTGGCCTCATTAATTCACTGTATCTGTATTGAATTGCAGTGAACTCCATGCAGCGCATGACAAAACTTTGCGATGTACATTTGTCAAGCAGATATTTCACCAAAGAAATAATAATAGAGTTGAAGTAATTGAATACGTAACAGCTAATTCAATTTTCTTCTTCACTTTATATTAAACAACAGTTTGCTCTGGTCACACTTTGTTGACAACACAATACCATATATATATATATATATGTGTATATATGCATGGTTATAGAAGAGGTTTGACTGTGTGAACCTATTTATTTTTATTATTTAGAAAAAATGCTGAAATTAGCATTTTGTACATTGAGGTACTATTATGTTTTATCAAAAACCTGGTCTTAAATTTCCTTTTATTTCCGAGTTCTAAGTCATTTAATTTCCATGTACCTTCTATCCTCATTTGCTGCTTTTATGAGACACTGGAAGTACCTTTTTTCCCCAGTTGAGAGACAGCTATGCATTACGGGAACTGAACCTTTAGCATTGACACAATTGAAAATACCTTTCCTTGGAAACTGAAATGCTTGATAGGTGCTCTTGATTTCCAAGAAATACAGGTTAGAATTGCAAATACCATGATGGGAAACAGAAAATCACCTTCATGAAACTTGCAAAAAGCTTCCATATCTCTACTTTTCATGGTTTTGTCCAAATATACTTGGAACAAGGAATTGCAAACTGTATGTAACAATCTCATTTACAGGTACTCAGATGTGTCGCCATCAGTACTGCAAAGAGTCAGTTGCATGTCAAAGCTATCGGTTTATTAGAATAATGAATAACCAATTTGAAAATGTACTTTCTCTGAAATTATTAGTTTGGAACACTTTGACTTCACAGTTCCTGTTTTTTTTTTTTTTTTTTTTTTTTCTTTTCCCCGCTCTCTCTTTTCTCAATGCGTGAGTGATGTAGTTCAAGATGAAGCAATTATTCGTGTATTCTTCAGGCTAGTGCATCCTTCTAGTTCAATCCCATATTTGGGAAATTTCATCAAAATTATTTAATCTTGCTGACTAATCCTCTCAGCTACAGTTCTAAATGTATGCTGCTGTAGCTGTAGTTGTACAGTCACATTTGTAAAGCCTGCAATGGGTGTATATGCTAAAAGTATAGTAATCTCGGAAAACAGTCGTTTTGCACCCGTGTGCTGAGTGCTTGCAAGGACCAGTCAGCAATCAACTAGTTTGTGTACATAATGTCCTTGGAACAGACTGCATTAATTTATTAAATTTGCCCTAGATTGTTACTGACTGAATCAGTGAAAGTAGGAGACAGATAGAGAAAGGATGCTCACTTTTGAATTTGATATTGGATTTTTTAAAATTGATGGAAAATGTGAAGATAAGATTTAGGAATCCTCTTAAATTATCAGCTCTTAGCCTGTGAGGGAGTTGTGAATATGGTCTTGTAAAAACTGCATATAGGCAAGACATAAATAAGAATTATTAAACTATTGATTTTTAAACTTTATTTTCTTCCCTGCCATGTTGTTCTCACAGCT